AGAGAGAGAAAAGAACACTCGGCGCGTCAGATAGGTAAGGAGGGGGACGAGGTAATCAGTCCGACTACCTACTGTCGTGACCGTCCCTCACTGTCACATAGTTGATAGAACGACGGAGAGACTATGACTATACTCACGGCCCGCAGGAGACCGAGTCGCTCTGTTCCGACCCAAGCGTGTGACTCTGTGCCGGGCCCAGTTGTTACCTTGTATAAATTTCCTCAAAGTTGTATCTTGTCGTGGTCGTAGTTAAACAACAAAGATTGTACCCGTTGAATGCCAACAATCTCTTCTCGTCTTTGTACAGTTTCATTAGTGAGAACTAAAATAAATAAAGCTTGCACATTTTGTTATTATGTTGTTAATATTATTTTACTTTACTTTGTACTCTTAATACTACGACATGTTTGATTTCGTCATAGTTTAACTATTTGTTTTTATACTAACTGAATGTTTAATATATATTTGTTTACTACACGGATTAATGTGTAGGTTTTTCAGTAACCTAAGTAATCTAAAGATATATAAGATGAAGAAGACTATTGTATACTTAAATCGAGTAAGAAACCAAAAGTTAAAGAATCCAATAAACTCTCTTATGTTATTTTGTTTTTGTACATACACATTCGACTTTGGAGAGAATAGAATTCAGGTTTAGATCGAAGATAAGTGTCGGTCAACCTATACACTAACCGTTGGACAGGTCGGACAGAGGACGGATAGTGGTTCCTGGGAAACCTGTACTATTCACCTAATCTTTTACCTACTTACGTATTGACCTATCTAATGTTCTACCGTCTAGAAATTTAGGATATATGAAATATGATAGATTACTAACTTAGTGGAAAATTATTGAATAACCACAATCGACTTCTTTGTGAAACTCCGTCGGTTGCAGGATCGAAACATGTGTAGTGGTTCCATTCGTGTGGATGCTTCCGTAAAAACAACTGCAATTAAAAACCATAATGTCGAAATAATATAAAACTATATGTTAACTATCAAATTCTCTGTCCTTTGTGTATGTTCACCCTACATGCTTCATATAAAAAAACTTACGTAGTTTACCAGGACCGACTTAACCTTTGGTCACTACTATGTAATACACCGTACACGAAATTTGTTGGTCAGGTCAAACAAAAAAATCCTTTGACATGAAGGGTGACTTCTCAACGATTTCCACCCCATCCATTAAAACCTCTTTTGGTCGAAGTTCACGCGATTCTTAAACTTTTATGTGTCGGCCTTTTTAGACGGTGAAGGAATGTCTCCGGGAGGAAGTTGTGTGTGCTTGCGCGTATAATTGGTTACTTCCGTGCTCTATTCAAACACGTGTCTAACCTTCCGACTGTCCGTCCATCCCGGTAGGTCAATTAAAATCGGCCCGGCCGATTTTACTAACAAACACGAAAATAGTCGCGATTTGCCGAAGGTGTCTCCTGTAGAAAAATACCTAAAAAACAGTTTCGTGAATTCTATAAGTAACGATAGCCCTACAATTCTCGTAAGGTACCTTGTATTGTTTTTCACATAGAGCTCGGCCAAGAGTTTGAATGGATGGGGTGGAAAATCAACATTCGCAATAAATTCTCGAGTACAGTCAGGTTAATATGCTCTATCCGTCCTAAGTAACAACATACAGTCCCAATGCCATGGCGATTTCATTTAGAGGATTCTTTACATTTTACATACACAACCCCAGTACTACCTTTGGTATTCTTGTCCCCATATTAGTCAAACCCGAATAAGACAAAAGAAGTATGTAAAGAACGCACTTGTGTTACATTTTCCTGCAACTTCTTTCCGAAAAAGTCCTTGAAAGTAGAGTGTTTCGGTAAAATTTTTAACATATGTTTAGGGGTCGACAAATATGAATTTCCATAGTACAATAAAAATCCGTTATCGTATCCAGAGTATATATATTTTTTTGTACAGATACTTCACGAAACGAGTTTTATGGTTTGTCTAGTGGTAAGATCCGGACGAAGTATAGGGAGATAAAGTGAAGGACAAAGTTTTCACGACTAAAACCCATATTTTCATTTTTTTTTTCTTCTAACTATGTTTTATTTTTATTTTCCTCCCCGGACTCGAGTACGCCCTGGGCCGTCGATGACAGATTTGATTTATGACGGCACTACTTACGCATAGTACTAATAGTTTTCTACTAAAGACTTTGTCATACCTCGAGGTTTCCGGAAAGAAGAGAACGGCCAATATGGTGTTCCACTCAAGGAAAATAAAGGACGAAGAAGTGTGTTGATACCGAGATAGGTCATGTCCAACTCGAGCCCACAATCCGCTACGATTACATTTGTTGGTTGGTACAATGCAGGTTTTGTCAACCGTAACAAAGACTATCGTTGAAAGACTACCCCGGCACCCAGGTGGTATTAAAGGCTATAATGCAGTATAGCCTGCGTTTAGACCTAGTCGAGCAACATGGGGTCCAAAAATCTCTAAACCCATGCCTCCTTTTCTCTCTCCCAAATAAAAACTGCGACACACTCAAGGGGCTGTGTGGCCCCTGTGTAATAAATACATATTTCTGTATTTTTTCCCCTTAAAACGTACTATGACAATCCAGGGAAAAATCTAAATTATTACAATTATAATTTTTATCAATTGGAAAAAACTATGAGTCGGGGGGGGGGGGTGAAGAGAGTGGAAGGGAGAGATGGTGATAGAGAGAGGTGGAGGTACAGGGCAGAAGCCGGTCGGAGGTGGACAGCAATCGTCAGTTTTGTGGATACAAAGCCAAGGCTGTCAGTGTGGGATTTGACTGCTCGCACACACATCCAAATCCTTCTCAGTGAAGACACAGACTCTGTTCAGCACCTTTAAACTAATACCAACAGTGTTACTTGTATCTGCATTTTTTTTTAAATCTCTTTGTCTGAGGAGGAACTCTTATGTTACCTTTTAGTTTGAACAATGTTCTTGGATATTCTTTTATCAGATGACATGTTTGATCAATTAACAGATACTTTAACATTTAACCAGGGCAGGGAGATGTGTTAAAAATGATTCACAATCTGGCCAGTGATTGGAGATCTGTTGGCTTTGTTTTGTGTTTGCAGCTGAAAGGAGTGTTTGAGTGGCTGAGCGTAGTGAAACACAATTCATGAAAACTTGACAAAAACTGAATAAAACTTGCAAAAGACGTAATGGTTATTGTTTAAAAAACTTAAAGCACCTACACTGTCTTATAAAGAAACTGCCCTGCCTGCATGTGCTTAAATGTATAAGGCTAAGAAGGGTTAAAGGTAGAGACAGGAGAGTGTGTCTTTCTTAACGATGGAGAGAAAATATAGAATGCCATCCGAGACAATCGAATGCTACTGCTTTTACTTAAATCAGTTGTGTTATTACCTTTTTCTCACATAAAGGTGTTGCCCTTCATCTTGGAGGCTGCTCAATAGATATACACATGTCATGAGCGTTATGATTAAAAGTAAAATAATTTCCTGATGCTCAGAGGATCACATTTCATTTCAAACGTAATCAAAGCCGGATCAAACATACAGCTGATAAACAGCAGTCTCCAGCCAGGCCGCTCTGCAGTGTCCCGTTCATGTGGTGAAGAGTTGCGTCACCATGGTAATAACTTTGATTGGTGACAATGATGTCCTGGGCAATCAAATTGTACTGCAGGTATAATTGAGGGTCACACTGACATTTATAGCTACTGAAGAATTTATGTAGCACCTGCTGTCACAAATAATGATGTTGTAAACAGGTAAGCGCCAAGTGAGATGCTGGTGCAGTTTCTTAAGTCAGTGTATTTTCATTTGCGTTTATTTTACTAGTTTTGTTCTGATAACAAAGAGGCTATATGGTCAGCGTCTTCATCACACAAGCTAAACTTCACATGTTCCATCATCTGGTGAACATAACAAAAACGTTGATCTACAATAGGCTATATCCAGTATTTAATTGAAAACTAATGTCCAAATGTTTATTGAACTTTGCTGAGGACCTGTGTGCTCCTTCACAGTCAAAACATAACATGTCCGCCCAGATAAAATGTTCCTATTTGGCAAACTCATTGCCAGTTATAAGTGCAGATGCAGGCCTGGTACTCTTGAATACAGAAAATAGTGTGTTTTATTTTTGCATACATTTCATTGTCAAGCATCAACGTTCCTTTTTAGTATTTACACACCAGCATTGCAGTTTGCATTGTCCCATAGGTATGTTTCATTTTTGGGAGCTCAATATCTCAGAGGCACTGATAATGAACTGTCTTCAACTTCTACAAAGTGCATGAATTGTATATGAATACATTTTGTACAAAATATAGCTTTTTACATTCAAAAACATATATATATTTATTTACATTATGTGTGTTTTTTTTTAGTATCCTCCACTATCAGTGTTACATTCAGGAAATCATAGCTCCAAAATGAACAGCAATATGATTAGATTAGATACAATTCATCATCCCAACCGTGGCGACATCAAGATAAATCACTGCTGTATTTCAAATGTGTAATTGGAACTTGCTGATAACAAATGTGTCTTCTCTCCTCTCTTCGTTTCTCTCTCTGTTCAGAGTCTGGTGAGATGGATGAAGAGCTGGCCGGCTTGGCCTCTCTCGGGTTCAGCGGCTGTCTGTCAGGTGTTTTCTTTAACTCCATCAGTCCTCTGAAAGCCGCCCTGATGCACCCTGACAGCCCTGTTGTTGTCAGCGGCCCACTTGCCCAGTCCAGCTGCGCCTCCTCCTCTCCAGCCAATCCTTACGCGGCAGAAACCACACATTCCTTATCAGGTATAAGGAGACAACTCAGCCATTATTTATACGTAATATATATCTTTAGGTAGACACCCCACCCATCTCCCTAGAGTTAAATAGTATTCTTAGGGCTGCTCATTAGACTTTTATGGGCTCATTAACCATCTTCCTCCGTTAGCAGACAGACTGAGTGATGGCACTATGTCAGATGAGATCATTCAGACAGCTGTAGTGAAGTATTTTAAAGTTGTTCTGAGGCTTTAACAAGCTGTGACTGCACTGACTGATGAATATCTATCCCCACACACTCCTTGTCCACACGCCTTTCCTTCTTTTTATTTTGTTTCTTTTCGTTTGTTTTTCAAACTTGGTGATCTTTGTCTACATTCTTTCTTCTCTGTAGGCTTTTTAACTTACCTTTACTGGACTCCTTTCTTTCTTTCAGACCAGCCAAATTCAGTGGATCCAGGTCAGCATTTAGTCAATGCCATCAGGAGTGACTCAGCTCTAATCGGAGGTAATGTATTCTTCTGAGCAGGACTAAAAGTTACGGTTGGCTAAAAACTTTATATTTGGAGAGTCTCACATTGTAAAGTGGAATGGGAAGGATAGAAGTGTTTAAAAATGATGCGAGGGAGGAGGGAATAATGATCTAGGTAGCAGAGAAGAAAGAAGCAACATTGAGGAGAAACAATGCATTGGCTGTTTTAATGAGAAGATTTTGGGTCTGAATTCACATGGCGCATGAAAACTTTGCTGACAAAAAGGTATTAGACTCGCACCGAACCACTTTGATGCAGCGCTCAAATAAGTCAAGCAGTATTTCATGTATTTTCACTTCCGTTTGCTTTACGAATAAACCGAAAGGTTGAGTGACATCAATTTGAGGTTGTTTATGCTCAAATCAAAACTTAGGAAAACTTTTAAAGAATAGAGATACAAACCGATCTTCTGGGAGATGAAATTCACAGACAAAGTAGCGTGTGTCGCACCTGCTGTCTTCCTGCTGTCTTCAGAGCAGGTGCACCATTTCTGCTGTGCTATTTTAGATTTAGATCGTATTACAGGAGTGTATAGATGGACAAATCCAACATTGCCCCAAAACAATGCACTTTCAGTTATTACTGGATTTATTATTTAAAGGTCCCATGTCATGGCCATTTCCACTGATCATAATTCCATTGTTGAGGTCTACTAGAATAGATTTATATTGTGCAATTTTCCAAAATCACTTTGGTTTTTCATACAGCATCTCTGTAAACTACGTGTATTCACTGAATTTCACTCTCTGCCTTTAACGGCTCGTTGTAGCTCCAATAGCTCCAGCCCCCACCCTCCCTGTGAGCACAGTGTGCTTTGATTGGTCGGGACACGTAACATGAACGTGCCGGGCGGCACGGTCCTGTGGGTTAGGATGCATGTTCATAATGCAGAGGGGAAATAACTCTCAGGAATAACGTTATTAGCACATTTTTA